TTCCGCGCCCCTGCGCACCCCTCCGCTCACCGAGACCAAAAACTCCAGCGTGCCCACGTAGTCCCGCTCGGTCTTGAGCAGCTCGTTGAGGACGCAGACCCGCAAGCGAAGCTGCTTCTCCAAGTCCTTCCCGCTTTCCCCCCTGCCTTCCCCTTTGCTTTCCTCTGTCATGGTGCAGCGAGGAGGAGCGGTGCTCCCAGCCCGGCGCCTTTCCCGGCTGCAGGCACTGCGCTGCGGACAAGGACAACAAAAGACCCCGCTAAGTTACATAGCGGAGCCGGGCTCCGGCCGGTCCCCCAGCCTCAGCCCCTCCTCACCCAGCTCCAGCAGCGGCCCAAGGTCCGGTGGCGAGGAGCCACCCCAGCGCCTGCTCCTTTCCCGTCAGGAAGGGGACACAGCCTGGAGGAAACGAGCGGTCACTGGTTCCCAGCTCGCCCTCTTAGCTGAGGGCTTGGAAAGGCTCCGCAGCAGCAGCACAGACTTGGACATTAATCAAAAGCTTTGTATCCATGTGACTCCAACCCCTTTCCCCCCCCCTTCGCTAAATCTCAGGAAAAAGGAAAGGAAACAACTTCAGGGAAGATTGCGTGCCAGCAGCTGCCTGTTTCACACACAGGCTGCGAGCTCCAGTTTGAGGCTAATTGGAGATCTCGCAAGAATTATAAAAATGTCCCAGCAAGCTGGCTGCCCAGGGAATCAGCAGTTGTTTTTGTTTTGGTTTAACCATCAGCAAAGGAGCTATTTCTACTTCCTTTTCCACACCTTCCCACAAGATGGGTATTACAACCTATAGCACAACTGATGAGCATTACGAATGTGTGCTTTGATATTCCTCTGAACAAACATATACAGCTAAGCCTGTGCCTGTGCTGAGCAGGTACAAACAGTACATTCTACAATAGGTACATAAAAGTTCCTCTAACACAGGGGTTTCTTTTTTGTTTATTTGCTTATTGAAACAAGGTGCTATAAAATCCACAGTTTTCCTGTCTACCTTAGAAGTTCAGATTTGCGTGACATTAAAAGAATGAAAAAAGACTTCAGTAACCTTTTCAAACAGTTAGCAAAAAGTGTATAGCTACTCAGTGCAAGGAAAGTGGATTTCTTGAAAACTGAAATATGTCAGGACACTACCATGTGAATTTTGAGACCACTGTTGAAAGCTGAGGGTTTCTCTGCCTAGCTCTTCGGTTTGTGACTGGAAAGAAAATCCAGGTATTCAACTTCAACTAAGAGGAAGGAAAGAAATGGAAACCAGGGTGTAAAATCCTTCCACAGCCGCAGAACAAGCTGAGGCAGTAAAAAGAGCCCTTACTGGGAGAGAATAAGCAGAGACATTCGTGTCCTGATCACTGCACATCATCTAGCTGTTTGCCTCACATCTTTGGGTAAACAGAGAATACAGCACCCACAGGCTGTTTCTCAAAAAGCCAAATTAAAAAAGCCTGTTTCTCTGAATGTTTCCTACTTCCCTGCATTCCCTCCACCTTCCCAAACACACACAGCTTCCTCACATAAAACCTAAGCAAGAAGCAGCATTTGCTGGGACTGATTCTGGTACATGTATCCTGCTCAGCCATTTATGGATGTGCAGACTAGCCTGCAAGCTTGCCTACTGACCTCAGTGTAGCTCTTCCCTCAGTGGGTCACTAGTTTGGGACTACTGTTCCAAAATTAGCCACTGATTTTCCTTAAAATTAGAACTTCATGTTTTGAGGACCTCACTCCCCTGCCAAATCTAGTTCAAATAGATTGATGGACTCAAAACAGACTGAGGCAGAAAAGCCATCACGGTCTAATCACTGAAGCTTGCTTCCTTAGGAAGCCTGCCTAAAATAGACAACCTGTCTGATGGTGAGCTAGAAACCTTCTCACCTGCTCGGGTGGGCTTCACCAGTGAGGCACACAACTGAAGTCCCAAAGCTCTGTGGCATCTGCCCTGATCCTGTGGAAGAGATGAAGTGCTTCACACTTGCTTGCACTGGCACCAAGAAAGCTGATGCTATGGTGGAAATGGAAAAAAAAACTGATCTACTGAACCCCATGATGCTACGAGTTTTCTGAAAGTGATAACCAACCACTGGATGTAAAGCCACTGGAGCAGAACACGAAGCTACTGTTTTCCCAGTCCTAAACACATACAGGTGCCCTTTCTCAGGCAGTTGTAGCCCGATTCCTCAAATTATTTAACCTCCCGCAGCAAGCACTCTCTCTTTCCTTTGGAAGTGCAGAAATGAGACAGCTACAGTTTCTGGTTTCGGACATTCCCCTTCACTCTTGGTTTCAGCCATGTGCCATTAGCTGTCACAACCCACATGCATGCTCGTAGACCTCAGTGAAGGGTAAAAGAGGCAGGAGCAGCAGCTTACTCTCTTTTTCTTTCCCATCATCTGTATCAGTAAGAATCCTTTCACTTCAAAGGTTTGTCATCTCATTGCCAGGAGTCCTTAAAGCCGAAGTGATGCTTGCCCCAGTTGACACTCCTGCTGTCCTCACACAACTGATTCTCGCTCCTGCATTCAGGCAGGCAGCTCCAGCTGTTTGGGCCAGCAAAAGCATAAACGACAACACTGAAGAGATTTTTATGACTCACTTAAGGCCACTGAACCCAGCATAGCCCACAGCAGATGTCCAATGTTAGGAAAAGTAGTTCTAAGTACCAGACACAATCGATGGAAAACATACGTGCATACAAGCTTAGCCAATTTTCCTGACAACCTGCTTGAAGTACTAAAGACAGGGGCAAATTGCTCTTTTCCTGCTATTTTCAGGGAAAAGCTGAATTGCTCAAATTGTAGTTTTCACTACACCAAATTTGGGGGGAAAAACAATAAACAAAAAAAAAATTAGAGCATACACGCAAGATGAAAAAAATCAGCCTGAACAAAATGTTGTAAGCAACCAAAGAGCAGATTTTACACGGTGATGCATCAGGGAACCTGACTAGGTGATAGCACTACCCATCTTACGTACATAAGTTATGTAAATATGTAAAGTTATGTAAATATGTAATATGTAAGCTATGTAAAACAGCATATTGGTTATGCTAACACGCGAGAGACATCAATTGTTGCTCCCTATGGGGAAAGCGACAGGTTTGGGGAAACTGCAGAAATCAAATTGTTTCCGTGGGATGCTATAACTTTGGAATGCAAGTCTGAAGTCTGTTTAAGGAGCCTGTTGAAAAAATACGGCACCAGAAAACTTCTGGCCTGATGTGACCTCTCAAGATCATCTAGTCTAAACCCCCTGCTCAAGCAGAGTCACCTACGGCAGGCTGCTCAGGGCCACAGGACAGGTTGTCCAGCCAAGTTGTCCTCTCACTCTAACCTGCCTAAACGGTCCATGCAATGCCGAAATGACTATGAAAGCTAAAACTAGCCATTTTCCTGTAGCAATCTTCACTACCAGAATGTACCAGAGTTTATAAACAAGACAAAACAAAACATGAGAATTCTTAAGAGAGTCATCCAAGAAACGTGAGTAACAAGGAACACTGAAAAAGTTCACTTGAATAAAAACTGTTTGTTTACAGGTGGCTCTAATACCGTACTGAGCAATGAAAAGGTTAATATGTAAGGGACTAGCTGTAAACTGCTATGAAGGAAGTGTTGAGGGCTGAGTAAATCGAGGAGTTGACTTTTGACACATTGCTGTCTCTGCTCATTCACCACAGACTTTACAGTAAACCAGCTTTGCAGCCACAGATTTTAAAGATATGTCATTATTTGTACAGAATGGACCAAAATAATCAATTCTATAATCTTCCTTTATGGTATTTTTAAGGAAGATGGAGGTGCTTTAACCACAAAGACATTTAAATGGCCCCAAACACCAGAAGTTTGTGGAGGCAACATAATATAATCATACACATAATGCTTACTCATATAATGAAAAGATTTATGCGGGTATTCTGAATACCAGCTGCTCCCCCAAAAACCAGACTTTTTTGCCCCAAACTGCTACAATACTACATTACAAGTACTTTGTCACGTACCAATACTTCACCACACACAGTTTTTCCCCAAGCCTTTAATAATGGTGCATATCTATCTGCAAGGCTTTCAACCATTTCATTCCCACCTGCACAGGGGACACAGCAAACATCTGTAGCAAACAAAATCTTAACATTCAGCTTTACTTAGCCTGTAAAGAACTATTACTGCATGATCCAAACCTGATTTATCAAAAGATACATCTAAAAGGATATATCTACGTTATAACTCTTAAGAAAAGGAGTGATTTGTAGCTCACTTAAAGAAGTGTATTTGACTTTTCCTATAAAAAAATCAATGGCACCTTTAAGAAATCCTGCAGCAAGAAGCCATGTAAGTGTTATAATGGCAACTGATCACTATGAATGAGTTTTCTTCAGAAGACTATCTAGCAGCATGTCTGCAGAACCTCAAGACAGGAGCACAGTTAGTTCACATAGCTTTTGAATTTAAATTGGTATTAAAAGAACATGAACTAACACAAATGCACGACAAGATCTCCTCAGGAAACTAATTCGCTCAGGAAGAAACTGAACTTGCATGGAGCCAACATGGAAAAGTAGAAATGGTTTCCACACGGTTAAACACCATCTTAGTGTAATGTGATGAAAGTTATGCAAACTAAAACCTCACTTTGTGTAGTATCTAAGCAGAAGTACAGAATGGACAGCTGTGGACAATTATCCCACCTCAATTTCAAGAGGAGATCTGACAGCTTCTTCACATTAGACATTCAGCAACCTTTTTAAAAGCTGATAGGAAACTGAAACAAAATTCATTATAAACCATGCAAGCTGAAATAAGATGAATATAATTTATGCAAGTAATCTCAAAAAAACTCCCACGTCTTAGTGAGAAATAAAACAAATTAAGTTCAGAGTATACAAGGTCTTTCATGTTGCTACCTAGATTTATATCACTCTGGATTCTCCATGGGAAAGAAACCATAACCTGATCAATTAAAACACCTTTTTTGATCTGCTCATGGGAGCTCTGCAGAACAACCAGAGATTGAGGAGCAGGGCTTTATGCAGAAACAGAGACAGAAAAATAACTCAACCACTTCTTTGACTTTTGATAATAGAGAGTAAAACAAAACTTGATATGAAGGAAAGCATAATGAATTTCCATTTGGTTTACTTTAGGGTAAAAACAATCTTCTAATAAGAAGAGCCT